TGCCGACCTTTTGGTTAGCAGCCAAACACTTAACCGCTGTTACACAAGGAATTAAAATTAGAGGATGTGATAGAGAGTGACTGGTTGGCCTCTTTATTTTGGCTGATCTAGAGAAAATCTGAATGAGTGACATTTAAGCTGAGATCTATCCAACAGAAGGTGCCAGCGCCAGAAGGTCCAGGCAAGGTCCCTCCCACTCAGGAGGGAAAAAGTGTGGTGTGTTGAGGAATAAAAACAAGCTTGGTTTAACTAGAAGTTAGTGAGCAAGGGGAGAACAGTAATAGGAGATGCAATTGAAGAGGTAGCTGGGGCCATATAATCATGTAGAGTATTGTAGCTTTTTTGCATTTTTTTCTAAGTGTGGTATTAAGCTACTGTTTTAAGTTTTAAGGCGGAGACACATGACTTAACTTTTTAAACAATTACTCTGACAGCTATATGGAGAATTAACTGGAGGGGGTCTACAGTGTAAATAAGGAGACCTGTTAGACTATGTCAAGACAAGAAATGATGATGGATTTGATTAGGATGATAGTAGTGAAAGGCAAAATGCCATGGACGAATTCAGAACATTTTGGCTGTGGAATCAACAGCATTTGTTATGGATTAGATGTCAGGGGTGAAGAAAATAGAAAACTCTAGGATGTTGTCTGTATTTCATTATACATTGCTTAGTTCAATTTCAGGTCTGATTCATTCAGGTAAATTGTCACACAGGAGACACTAATATATTTTTACCAAAGGAAGGAACTTGCTTTAATAATTGTATTGCTCATATATACATTTAAACTACTAAAGCACAAGCTTGTGCTCATATCTTTATTAAATATTAGGGAGTCAGGTTCCTAAGTATTAGGGGTTTATGTTACAAGCACATCAGTTGTGGATAGTAATTAGAGTCTTCCACTGAAGTATCCAAGCGGGCAGAATAGAATGAATGAAGCAGAGAAAATCTCCTGCCATGGGCACAAAAGTTCTGTGGAAATGTCATATTTTATTTTCAAAATTTGATATTTTGCGTTTTATTCTACAATATAGCCCTGTTTATGTTAACTTACAATATTTTAAGTTACCAGTTAAATTGCTTGGATCTTTTCCCCGCAAAGCTAGTGAAATTGAGGCTCTGGGAAGATGTACTGTGATTAACCTGTATTTATGTTTTAGTTTTTTATTTTTTTAAATACCTAATGGCACCCAGCCATGTATCCATTTTGAGAAGCACAGAACATATCTCTGAGCACTTGGAGTTTGGTACAATTTGAAACAGTAGCCAAAAGGGGTAAGAGGGGCACTGCACTTAAAAACTGCTGACTTTTACAATCTTCATTTAAAATGAGTAGAACTGCTGCACTTTGTAATGTATTTCAAAAACAGCCGAGTAAGGCTATTTCTTTTTTTTAAAGAGCCATTACTGAACAATTAGGGGGAAAATGAGTTAAGTTCACAATTCTGGAATAGTATGTTTTCTGCTGGAGTCCCTGGATGGCGCAAATGGTTAAGCACTTGGCTGCTAACCAAAAGATGGTTGGTTGAAGTCTACCCAGAGGTGGATTGAGTTCATCCAGAGGTACCTCAGAAGAAAGGCCTGGCAATCTGCTTCTGAAAAATCAGCCATTGAAAACCCCATAGAGTACAGCACTACTCTGACACACGTAGGAACACCGTGAGTTGGAATCACCTTGACAGCAACTGGTTTTTTTTTGTTCTGTTTTGTTTTTTATGTTTTCTTTTGGGTTTTACGGGTCACCGTGTGGCACAAACGCTTTGCACTTTACTGTTAACCTAAAGCAGCCTTGGTGGCGCAGTGGTTAAAAGCTCGGGTGCTAATCAAAATGTTGGCAGTTCAAATCCCAGCAGCCACTCCTTGGAAACCCTATGGTGCAGTTCTACCCTGTCCTGTAGGGTCACTATAAGTCAGAATCGACTCGACGGCAGCGGGTTCCTAACCTTAAGGTGGGCAGTTCAGACCCACCTAGTGGCACCACGGATGAAAGTCCTGGCGATCTGCTTCTGTAAGGATTTCAGCCAAGAAAACCCTATGGAGCAGTTCTATTCTGTAACACATGGGATCACCATGAGTAGTAATAAAATTGACAGCATTGGGTGTTCCCTTTTCATATTCACTTGCTCTTAGAGCAAGTCAAATCAGCAGGCTGAGTACAGTCATCCCTCAGTATCTCAGGGGACTGGTTCCAGGACCTTCACAGATACCAAAATCCACAGATGCTCAAGTCTGTTATATAAAATGGCATAGTATTTGCATATAACCTACACACATCCTCTGTGTACTTTAAATCATCTCCAGATTACTTTCAGTACTTAATACAATGTAAATACTGTGTAAATAGTTGTTACACTGTATTGCCCAGAGATAGCAGTTTACGTTCACACTTAGCCTTTCAGGGATTGCTTTAACCACTTAGTTGCTTTTTAGGAGCCATTTTTTCACAGAAACAAAGGGTGCACACAACACAAGTAGCAAACGAACAAGAGGCGAGGCGAACAATGCTCCAACGAGTGCTGGAGAGAGACTGAGGACCTGTGAAATGATGGGAGGAGAGGCTACAGCAGAGTATGCGTACACATCGCTTCCTTCGCATGGATTCAGCATAGTGCTCGGCACATGGCATATTCATGTTCTGCTTTTTAGAACTTCCCCCTCCCTTTCTCCCCCCACTCCCTCACCGAGTATTTTCCATCTGCGATTGATGGAATCCTCGGATGCCAACCCACAGATACAGAGAGCCAACTGTACTTAACCAAACCAAACCAGTTGCCATCAACTCAATTCTGATTCATAACAACCCTATAGGATAGAGTAGGACTGCCCCATAGGGTTTCCAAGGCTGTAGTCTTTAGGGAAGCAGATCTTTCTCCCATGAAGCAGCTGATGTGTTCGAACTGCCAACCTTTCAAGTAGCAGTGGAGGACTTTAACCACTGTACCACTCGGGCTCCAACAGGACACCAGCTGAGCACCTAGCCTCCACAAAATAGCTTTTACTAGATTGCTGTGTGCACTCATTTGCCATCAGGCTAGATATTAAAGGTCATTATAAGAAACAATCCTATGGAACTATTGCATCTATTATAAGGATATGGTGGGATATTATTCATTATGATATACTGTGTCTTCTTTTATCAAGATTTCTTGACAAAAAAGTGCCTGACCTTAATACAGAGATTGTTTTTACTTCTGTGCAGTTGCTTTGTTTTTACCTTATGAGCATTGTAAATGTTTAACTTAACTCTCTCTGGTTAGCTGCTAAAAACCTTAGAGCCAAATTTGTGGCCCACCCGTAACAAATGTGCTCTATGCCTCGTTGACTTCATTCCTGGCTCCAATTTATGTCTCTGCTCTAGTTATTCTTTCTTCTTAAGAAAATCTTAATTCATGCCATCTTATTCTGTGTATATATTTTTTTCTCATAAAGAGCCCTCAGTGGTTTCTGAAGTAGTTCAGAGTATGTACTGTGTGCCCATACAACCATCTTGGGTGCTTCTTAGTTACCTCATTTACTTTAGCTTTTTATCTTCAGGGATATTTTACTTCTCTGTAGTGGTTTTGCAGGGTTTTCATTACATGAAAATAGTTATGTCACAGGATTTTATTGTTTTGATGGTGTAACCAAGGGTTAAAATAACTGGTCTAATGGCCCGAGTTTATTAGAATGATATCATAATTCTAGCCTAGTCTCTTAACAGCAGTTACTGTTTTTTTACAGTATGCTTTGTTTTGTACTCTCAAATCGCATGTGACAGTTTTTGCTGTGTGGTTTTAGAAATATCATTATGCTGCCAAGGTAGTGCATAGCAGTTAACTATCTGTCTGATAGTCTCAAATGTTATGTTATCTTCCACCTCCATCAGACTTCTTGTCTTTGCACTCTGCCCTGGGTAATGGCAAGCGTATTAATCTCATCATACAACTTGTGTTGCTTCTTCTTTAAGTTACTCGTGCTTTTGTCTGGACAAGATAATATGGAAGGGTATTTGTTTCCAAACCTCATTGGCTTTGATTGATTTGGAGCACTCCTGGGTTTTTCAGATTATTTTACTAGTTATCATCCAAATGATGACATGATAATTATTTGTACAACATTTTATACTCTTTTAGTACCTTTGAGAAAAATTATTTGGCCTTCTGTACAACTATTTGAGGTATATAAGGAAGGCATAAACTTTTTACACAGATGGCAAAAACAGGGCCAAAATCATTTAAGTGATTTGCTCGAGATGAGACCAGCAAATCAGTGGTAGAACTGGCTAGACCCTGGTTTCCTGATTCCTATGCCACACTCCCTTTCAACACCAAAAGAATTTCTAACTTATACTACCAACATTATGTAATCTTATCTTATCCTTTGAGGTTAAAGATATGAAACGGGCAAACACAATCACCCATACTCATAGCTGGACAGAAATCAGGAATGAATTTCATTTGTATTACTCTCGTGACTTTCTGTTCTTGAAATTATGGTTCCTTTTAACTGTAACTCTAATCACTGTCACTTTCCATTATGGAATGAGGAAGCAATATTTTATCTTTCTCCTGAAAATTAATGTTGAAATGGAAACTATTTCCCTTGGTAATTAGTAACTTTTTTCTTCAGACTCTTTGCAAATTCGTCTTTAATACAAAAATAATTCACCATTGTTATCATACATGTTCATTGAAGGGCTAAATATACAGTTAATGCTGTGGTTTTTGGTAAAACATTAGCTATGATTTTAACCAATCTCTGCGTTGAAAGACAAAATTAAATGCTTACTGTTTCAGCATGGAAAATTTCCAAAGTTTTTATTCTAACTAATTGTTCACACAGCACATAAGCTAGGATTTCTTGAGTGTTTACTCTTAGCTGGGCATTATTGCTAAGCACTTTACAATTATATTTAATCTTCACCACAACCCTGTAAGAGTAGCTGCTGTTTATGATCCTCGTTTTATAGACAGGCATCAGCTTCAACAGTCAATATTATCTTCTGCCTCTCCTTCAGCTTCTAGAATTTTGGAGCAGCCCTGGACAGTAGAGGATGGACCCTGTGGTCTTGAGTTACATGGACAGTTTACTACGGCAATCAGATGTCTCCCTGTTGGATCCTCCAGGCTGGCTCAATGACCATATTATTGGGTTTGCCTTTGAGTACTTTGCCAACAGTCAGTTTCATGACAGCTGTCACCAAGTCTGCTTCATCAGCCCCGAAGTCACCCAGTTCATCAAGTGTACTAGCAACCCAGCGGAGATCGCCATGTTCCTTGAACCCCTGGACCTCCCCCACAAGAAAGTTGTGTTTTTAGCCATCAATGATAACTCCAACCGGGCAGCTGGAGGAACCCACTGGAGTTTGTTAGTTTATCTCCAAGATAAAAATAGCTTTTCTCATTATGATTCCCATAGCGGGAGCAACTCGGTCCACGCAAAGCAGGTAGCAGAGAAACTGGAGGCTTTCTTAGTCAGCAAAGGAGACAGACTGGCCTTTGTGGAAGAGAAAGCCCCTGCTCAACAAAACAGCTATGACTGTGGGATGTATGTGATATGTAACACTGAGGCCTTGTGTCAGAACTTCTTTAGGCAACAGCCAGAAGTACTACTGCAGTTACTCACACCTACATACATCACAAAGAAGAGGGGAGAATGGAAAGATCTCATTGCCAGACTTGCTAAAAATTAACTGTTGAGGTATGTCTGTGGCTTTTGAAGTTCTCTCTTTCCGCCAGTCCCCATTTGTTGGATGACTGCAATCTCAGTGCCTAAGGGAAGATGCCTGGTAGAGGAAAACTTTAGTATTCTTACTTTTTCCTGAAGGAATGTCATCTTCTGCATTATCCTAATGGACAGTTTCATTTTAATCCTCACTTGAGAGCATTATGTTCTGTGAAAATGTCTTGAAGTTATGCACCAAAACCTTAAAACCAACATATCTTAACATTTATTACATATGCTTTTCAGCTAAGACTTTTCTTTTCCTGTTGGTATAAAATTAATTCCCTTTTGGTCTCCTATTCACGTTGGTCTGTTCCAAAGAAAAGCACATCAAAAATATGTGAAATCCAGAGGAATGGACCTTAGTGAAAAGAGAATGACAACTGAAATGCAAGAAGAAAACTATAGAAGAACCAAAAACCTGTTGTACATCCCACATATCTAAAGAGATAAGTGGCTGGAAGCAGATGAAGACCTAACTTCATTCAGGACCTAAGTATTATTCAGTTCTGTGATCTCTCTCTCACTTACCTTCTATCTACTTAACTGGCTGTCTGCTTAACCTTTGCAAATACTTGATAAACAAGATGTTAGCTCTTCTTCCCCATCTAATTCCTAGAATGCTTTAAGAAAGGAAGAATCTTGAGTAATTTCATTAAAATAAATGGCTGTCATGGACCTTTTAGTTTGTGCTGAGACTTGCAACTCTGGATTGGTAACAGCTTTTGCTTGCTTTGTCTATTAGCCATGCACTCATCCACTCCTTATACCCAAAGTTCTGTGATTCTAAAACTCATAGTTGCTGCCAAAGGTTACTTGTTATTTCATATAAATATTCTGCTTTCCTCTTCTCTCTATCCTTAATCTGGCAGGATCATTTTCAAGTATGTCAGGGTAATTTCAGGTCTATTATTATATCTGAAGTTTGCAATCTTAGAGTTGGTTTGTTTTTAAGATAGAAAAAAATGACCTTTCTCAACCCTTATGCTTAATTCAAAATGCAGACAATGTAATTTGAAAAATGTGGAACCAAGAGTAAAAAGAACTGCTATCCCTGCAAAAGCACTGATGTGTTTTTCTGGAGTTGTTTCAAATAATTAACAATCAAATGATATATCAGGTATACAAGTTAATTCTGTTCCCAATAAGAATTAGACTGCAGTGCAGATGAGACTTGAAAACCAAAAATTAGCTTCAGCTACCTCCCTAGCCTAACCCTGCCCCCAGCCCTCATGGCTCAAAATAACCTCACCAGCAAGTGACCACGAAAGCAGTAACTAAGTTCCTGTTAGCCAGGGAGGGAAAACACAGTAAGTGTAGATAAATACAGGTTATATAGCAGGCCTGAGTGACATAGGAGTTGGAACTAAAAGTCAAAGAAAAAGCTACAGAAAAGTGTCTATGCCAAGTCAGTATGTTATGGATAAAAAGGAGGCCTAATGGGGACAGGAACAAGATTAGGAACTAGTAATCAGCCATAGAGGTGAAATAGGGAGGGAGGGACAGCAAGAGGAGTGACACAGGTTGGTGATAGGCCAGGAGTGTAGGTAAAGATAAGAAAGTAATACTATTTCAGTAACTGTTGACTTAGGCAGCTAGTGTAGACAATGAAAGAATCACATCCTTTCTAGGATAAATTGCTATCTTTCTGATAATGCAAAGTGTGTTTGCTTAAGTGTCAGTATCTCTCATTTGAGAGTTAATACATCTGAGAGCAATCTTTTAACTTCCTAAGATTTGACCCAGAAACAAATTATCTTTTTAACTAAGCTAGTAAGTCTTTTAAAAAAAAAAAAAAAAGTTAAAATTTAAGGTTTCCTTTTCCAAATACACAGCATGATATTGGGACTGTGCCACAGGTTAGTCTCCTTCTATAAAACTTTGATATGCCATGTGTAAGTGTTAGCATTATAAATGACAGGAGAATGTAAGAATTTACTTGTAAATGTTTCACTAGATACTGTAATAATCGACAGCATATGCATCTGCTTGGCCATCCACCACTGATCTTACATGATACAAAATAGGAAAAAGATCTTTTGCTGGTATTATACTGCCTTCTCTTTTAGAATCAAAAGAATCCAGTCAGTAAAATTCAACTTCAAAATATTCAAAAGGAAAAGGTAATCAAACTTCCTTTTGAGCAGTGATTAAACACTGAACCACCTGATTTCACATATCCTATTGTATTATCCTATAAGTATATTCACACTTGTCCAACCTGTGTCTCAATACAGAATTCAGAAAGGTCACCATACGTAAACCCAGCTGTAGATGGTGGTCAAAACTGAAAATAATTATCAGTGGGTTTTCTATTTAATGCTGTCTAAACCACAAATATTTCCATCCTTTGGCTAGGTGTCTGTTGAAGTTCATGAGCAGTGGCTCCCTAATCTGATCAGAATAATTAAAAAAATCATACCAAAGGGGGAAAAAAAAACAAAGCCATTGTCATCAAGTTGATTCCGACTCATAGCGACCCTATAGGACAAAGTAGAACTGCCCCATAGGGTTTCCAAGGAGCGCCTGCTGGCTTCAAACTGCCGGCCTTTTGGTTAGCAGTCATAGCTCTTAACCACTGTGCTACCAGGGTTTCCAAAAAATCATAAGTGGTTTATTATTTCTGATATACACCTTCTTGCTTATTGACATGGTTAGGTTCCAAAGACCAGATCATTATGTGAAATCGATGTTATGCAAAAATGGAGGATGACTGCATCATTACATTACTGCCAAACCACTGAGAATCATGGCCTAGCCAAGTTGACACGTAACCTTAACCATCATAGCCAGCATTACTCTTGCTTCGTACCTCGTCATTTGTTACTGCCAGAATACGTCATTACTGTGCAAAATAGTCGGTAGATTTTTTACTTTTGTTGTAAATGTGAAATGTTGGATGAGATAGTCAGTAAATGAGGAGAAGGTGTATTTGTTTTTTTATTATACTGTAATTTTTACTATATCCATATTGAACATATGTTTTAACAATATGGTATTCCGTTGAAATGGCAAAGTAGAATTTCTCAGTCACATGCTTATTTACTGATGTTGAAAGAGCTTTTCCTTCTACCACTTAAAATAGGAAAGGAGAAAATATTTACAGAAATTTACATGCTGTGGTATTGGAAAGAGCATGAATTTTTTAACCAAACCCAGGCTGTGTTCCTTTTAAATTTATAGGCTTGGGCAAGTTTGAGATTCAGTAGCCTCATCTGCAAAATGAAGACAGTAGTTTGTTTAAGAGGTACTGTAAGGAATTGAGGAAGTCCTTGGGTGGCACAAACAGTTAAGCACTCTGTTACTTACCAAAAAGTTTGGAGGTTCGAGTCCACCTGGATGCACCTCAGAAGAAAGGCCTGCAGTCTGCTTCCAGAGAATCAAACCATTGAGAACCCTATGGAGCACAGTTCTGCTCTGACTCACGTGGGTCACCATGAGTTAGAATCAGCTCAACAGCAACTGGTTTATAAGGATTAAGATACCATATGGAAAGCATGTAATAACTAAAATAAACCACATTTCCTTTCAGTCCTACTGCCTAGTTCCATTTAAGACTAACAGCAAGTTTGAAAACTTAGCTTTATTGCTATGCAGCTAAACAGACTGTGTAAAAAATGGCTTCATAAATACTGTTATGTACAAAAGAGAAATTTATTAGAGGATGATAAAGAATGCAAAATGTATTAGCAACAACTAACCTTTATGCCACTCTATATTGTGCAGGATGCTTTTTACACACATTGTCTCATTTAATTCTAGATAAGAAACTAACTCAGAAAAGCTAAATCACAAGTGGCAGGGCCAAGACTCAAATGCAGGGCCTCTGACTCAGCTTCTCATACTTTTTCTACTTACTCCACTTTCTTTCTCCTAGAAAACAATGGAAAGAACTCCCTGCTTGAATATTTTAAATGTAGTCTCCCCTCACTTTCTAAATTATGTAAATTCACCTGGTATATTACAGGAACCAGTGGAGAGAAATTGTCATCTCGATTACCTGCTACGCAGCAGAACTTACACAATAATTGGCTTTGTTTTATATATTATGTCATATTTGGATCAGCTCCTTACATCGATCTACTGATCTAATAAGGCATTTCAAAAGCCTTACATTTTACTTCCTGTGTTAAATACCTTTCAGATTTCTTATATATGAAAGAGGGGAAGTAGGATAAGAACGGCAGCCTGGGGAATCTCACAGAGAAAGAGAGGACTCAAAGGAATTGCATCAAATAAATGGGACTAAGTAAGATCTCTGAGAAAAAGTGTGATGATTGATCTCTAAGTCCCAAAGTGAGGCAAATGAAATTCCACTAAGGAAAAACCAAGTGCTGAAGGCACTTAAATGAAATTTTCTTGGGAAGAGCTAACATGTCAGAGTGCCAAAGGAAGAGGTGGCCATCTTCAGTATCAGCAGTAGGGAAGAGTTATCATTACTCTGGAAAAAAACTCAGATCCTGAAGTTTGTGTTAGAAGGAGACAAGATAAGAGCTACGTTCTTGGACTTTTTCCCTCCATGTACTCAAACCAAGCAACCAGTGTTTAGAAGAAAACCCTTTCCCCATGATGCTAGCTCAGACAAGGTTTTCTGTAGTGGGCTAACCAGCTCTCCGTCACTGTCCGTCAATCTTCATCAAACCTGCAAAGCCTTCACTTCCTCCCTTCCTCTCCTGCTTCAGAGAGAAAAAGAAGCCACCAAACAAGAACTTCTTTCAACTTTTTTGACACCAGATCTGCAAACCTACCTGTATTTGCTCCCATCCTTGAGCTTTCCTCACTCCCTCATAGGTAAGGCTAATCCCTCCATCTGCGCACAGGTATCTTGTACAAACAGTTCCCCCACACCAACACATCATCATCAACTTCTCTCTCTTGACTGGCTCCCCAGCACTTAAATGTGTTAAGTCTCTTCCATTTTTTAAAAATAAATGAAGACATGACCCCATGTTTAAATATTGATTGACCTTTGCAGCCAGTTCTAAAGTGTCTATAGTTACTGTCACCTAACGTTGCCAATTCTCAATTTAATGTGAATTCTGCCCCACAACTCCACAGAAAAAATTCAAAATAAGTTCACTAGTAGTTCTTAGCTTAATAGACCTCTCAGCAAACATTAGACTCTCTTTCAAACCACTCTTCAGCTGATGTAAAACCAGTAGGAACACTGTTCTAGTTCTTCTCTTACTTCTCTGACCACTCTTCTTATTCTCACTTGCCAGTTTCCTTTCTACTTGTTGTAGAGTCTTAGTGTTTTGTCTGAACCATGTTCTCCTTTGTACTTTCTCACTCTGGCTCTCTCATCTATTCCCAAGGCCATTGATAGGTTTGGGCATTTCAGAGGTGTACTTCTCAGCTGAACTCTCCTGAACTTCAACTTGTATATCCATGTACTTACCTACTGGACATCTTCAGTTGGATATTTCATGGGCTCCTCAAATCCAGCAGGTCCCAAAGCTGAACTCAACCTCCCACATCAAACTTGCTTCGTCAGTATTCCCCATCTCAGGAAATAGAACCTCTGCCCCACCCAGTTCTAAGCAGAAATCGGAGTCATCCTTGTCCTACTCTCACCCTCACATCTAATCAATCTTGTAGTCCTGTTGGTTCTACATCTTAAGT